AGAATACTCGACTAGAATTTTTTTTTTTTTTTTTTTGAGATGGAATTTTGCTCTTGTTGCCCAGGCTGAAGTTGCAATGGTGTGATCTCAGCTCACCTCAACCTCCGCCTCCCAGGTTTAAACAATTCTCCTGCCTCAGTCCTCCCCAGTAGCTGGGATTACAGGCATGCGAACAACGCCCAGCTAATTTTGCATTTTTAGCAAAGACGGGGTTTCTCCATGTTGGTCAGGCTGGTCTCAAACTCCCTACCTCAGGTGATCCACCCGCCTCAGCTTCCCAAAGTGCTGGGATTATAGGCGTGAGCCACCGCACCTGTCAACTATAATTATTTTCAACCCTACTGCTTGCTAAGCGTTTACTCTGTCCAAGTGCTTTATTTACGTTATCTTGCTTCTCAGACGTCACTGAGAAAAGTGAAATAATCAGTGTTTAGTTAACATACATATTGAGGACAGCATACCAAACACAGTTGTGAAACTGGTGACTTCATGGTGAATGGAGCTTGTGACCTAGTTGGTGGAAAGTCTAGACCATTACATGTCAACAAATCAATACAGTTTAGGCCGGATGCGGTGGCTTACGCCTGTAATCCCAACACTTTGAGTGGCTGAGGTGGGCAGATCACTTGAGGCCAGGAGTTTGAGACCAGCCTAGGCAACATGGCAAAACCCCGTCTCCACTAAAAATACAAAAAAATTAGCTGGGCTGTGGTGGCACACACCTGTGATCCCACCTACTTGGGAGGCTGAGGCATGAGAATCACTTGAACCCAGGAGGCAGAAGTTACAGTAAGCCAAGATCACGCCACTGCACTCCAGCCTGGTAAGACAGAACGAGACTGTCTCAAAAAAAAAAAAAAAAAAAAAAAAAGACTTTAGGCTCACACTCATCAGGACGACTGCTATAACAAGAAAAAAAAAACCAAAAAACAGAAAATAACAAGTGTTGACAAGGAAACTGGAACACTATGTACTCCTGGTGGAAATGGAAAATGGTACAGCTACTGTGGTAAACAGTATGACAGGCCAGGCATGGTGGCTCACACCTGTAATCCCAGCACTTTGGGAGGTCGAGGCGGGCAGATTGCTCGAGGTCAGGAGTTCAAGACCAGCCTGGCCAATATGGCGAAACCCTGTCTCTACTAAAAATACAAAAATTAGCCAGGCGTGGTGGCACGTGCCTATAGTTCCTGCAACTCCAGGGGCTGAGCCAGGAGAATCGCTTGAACCTGGGAGGCAGAGGTTGCAGTGAGCTAAGACCGTGCCATTGCACTCCCACCTGGGCAACAAGAGCAAAACTCTGTCTCAAAAAAGAAAGAAAAGAGAAGAGAAGAGAAGAGAGAAAAGAAAAGAGTATGATAGCAGTTCCTCTGAAAATTAAAGATAGAATTACTACTATACGACGCTGAAACTCCATTTCTGGGTATATACCCCAGAGAATTGAAAGCAGGGTCTCAAGGAGATCTTTGTACACTTATGTTCATAGCAGTATTATTCACAGTGGATAACAGATGAAAGCAACCCAAGTGTCCATTGACAGATGAATGGATATGCCAAATGTAGTCTGTACGTACAATAGATTATTCAGCCTTAAAAAGGGAGGAAATTCTGCCACATGCTGCCACATGGATGAGCTTTGAGGATGTTATGCTAAGTGAAATAAGCCAGTCACAAAAAGACAAAGCAATTCCACTTACATGAGATTCTTTTTTGTGAGACTGAGTCTTGCTCTGTCACCCAGGCTGCAGTGCAGTGGCACGATCTTGGCTCACTGGAAGCTCTGCCTCCCAGGTTCACTCCATTCTCCTGCCTCAGCCTCTCGAGTAGCTGGGACTACAGGCACCCGCTACCACTCCTGGCTAATTTTTTTTTTTTTTTTTTTGTATTTTTAGTAGAGACGGGGTTTCACCATGTAGCCAGGATGGTCTCGATCTCATGACCTCATGATCCGCCTGCCTCAGCCTCCCAAAGTGCTGGGATTTCAGGCGTGAGCCACCGCGCCTGGCCTTATATGAGATTCTTAGTCAAATCCGTAGAGACAGGAAGTGGAAATGGTAGTTGCCAGGGCTCGGGGGAGTGGTGATAGGAGGTTATTATTTAATGGATATGGAGTTTCTGTTCTATAAGATGAAAAGACCAGCCTAGGCAACATAGCAGGACTCTGTCTCTAAAAAAAAAAAGAAAATCGTTGGTTGGATGCAGTGGCTCATTCCTATAATCCCAGCACTTTGAGAGGCTGAAGCGGGTGGATCACGAGGTCACGAGATCGAGGCCATCCTGACCAACATGGTGAAACTCTGTCTCTACTACAATACAAAAAATTAGCCAGGCTTGGTAGCGTGCACCTGTAGTCCCAGCTACTTGGGAGGCTGAGGCAGGGGAATTGCTTGAACCCAGGAGGCGGAGGTTGTAATGAGCCGAGATCATGCCACCACACTCCAGCGTGGCAACAGAGCGAGAATTCATCTCAAAAAAAACAAAAACAAAAAAAACAAAAAAAAAACAAAGAAAGAAAATCATTAAGGTGGTAAATGTGGTCGGGTGTGGTGGCTCATGCCTGTAATCCCAGCACTTTGGGAGGCCGAGGCAGGCACATCACCTGAGGTCAGGAGTTCGAGACCAGTTTGGCCAACATGGTGAAACCCTGCCCCTAGTAAAAATACAAAAATTAGCCAGGCGTGGTGGTGCACACCTGTGATCCTAGCTACTTGGAAGGGTGAGGCAGGAGAATTGCTTGAACCCAGGAGGCAGAGGTTGCAGTGAGCCAAGATCTCCAGCCACTGCTCTCCAGCCTGGGCAACAGAGTGAGACTCTGTCTCAAAACAAACAAACAAACAAAGATGGTAAATGTTATGTGTATGTTATCACAGGAAAAAAAAAAAGTTGGAAAATAAAAACAAGGACTCTAGGTCTGGGGCGTGAGCCACAGGTGATGTCATTAAGTGAGACACAAGCCTGGATAGCAGCAGATGAGAGGAACCTGAGGTCTCTGCTTTGCTCCTGTTCTAGACACCCAAGAAGAGATGTCAAGGAGGACGTCTGGTGTTAGGAAGGACAAAGAAACGTGAGGAAAACGGAGTCATGGGCAGGAGGACGACTTCTAGGGAGGGAGGGAGCCCAGAGCAGGGGGAGGACTGAGGACAAATCCCCGGGTCTCCACAACATTGAGAAATGGAGCACGAGTGAGGAGGAGCCAGCACCAGAGGCAGGGGCAGAGCAACCAGTGAGGGGCGGGAGTCTAGGGCAGGAGGCATTTCCAGAAGGACAGAGTGAATGGGCATCTGTGTCTAATGCTGCCAAGGGGTCAACTCAGATGAGGGCAGAGATCTGACCGTGGCATGGCAAGAGCAGCTTTAGGGAGTGCTAGGCAGAGCCTGACTGGAGATGGAAGTGTGGAGTCAGGACAGCCAACGCTTTCAAGGAATTTTGCAATAGAAGGGGAGCAGAGAACTGGGATGATGGAGGTGAGGTGGTATCAGGAGACTGTTTTTTTCTTAAAGAAGGAAGATTAGCCGGCTTTGGTGGCACACATCTGTAATCCCAGCACTTTGGGAGGCTGAGATAGGAGGATCATTTGAGCCCAGGGGTTTGAGACCAGCCTGGGCAAGACGAGACCCTGTCTCTACAAAAAATTAAAATATTAGCTGGGCCTGGTGGTGAGCACCTGTAGTCTTAGCCACTTGGGAGGCTGAGGTGGGATTATCCCTTGATCCCAGGAATTCAAGGTGGCAGTGAGCTGAGATCGTGTCACTGCATTCCAGCCTGGGCAACAAAATGAGACCCTATTTCTTTCAAAATAAAAGAGGGAAGATGATAATATATTTACATGCTAATAGGAGTAATCTGGTGGGGAAAGCAAAGTTGATAACTTAGGAAGAGAGAGTGTGTAGTAAGCACAGCGCCTTTGATTGGGAGAAAAGCCTGGCCTGGCAGGAGGCAGAATGGGGACAGCCAGTCCCTCTGAGGAGAGGGAACAGGTGCAAGAGAGCCTGGGGTTGCTGAGTGAATGAGAAGCGGGTGTACAGGAATAAAAGAGGCAGCCAAGGTCCTGCCCTCAATAATGCTTACCTTCTGGTCAGGAGGGCAGACAACAGGCATGAACAAGGCCAAGTGGTGGGACCGGGAGTAACTCACTCAAGACCATGGCTCAGCCAGGTGTGGCGGCTCACACTTGTCATCCCAGCACTTTGGGAGGCCAAGGCGGAGGATCACTTGAGGTCAGGAGTTCCAGACCAGCCTGGGCAACATGGTGAAACCCTGTCTCTACAAAAAATACAAAGATTAGGCCGGGTGCAGTGGCTCATGCCTGTAATCCCAGCAATTTGGGAGGCCGAGGCAGACAGATCACCTGAGGTCAGGAGTTCGAGACCAGCCTGGTCAATGTGGCAAAACCCCGTCTCTGCTGAAAATATAAAAATTAGCTGGGCATGGTGGTGCATGCCTGTAGTCCCAGCCACTCAGGAGGCTGAGACAGGAGAATCACTTGAACCTGGGAGGTGGAGGTTGCAGTGAGCCAAGATCACACCACTGCACTCCAGCCTGGGAAACACAGCAAGACATCATCTCAAAAAATAAAATAAAAAAAAAAAAAAGATTACCTGGGCGTGGTAGTGCGCAGCTGTAGTCCCAGCTACTCTGGAGGCTGAGGTGGGAGGATCACTTGAGCCTGGAAGGTCAAGGCTACAATGAGCTGAGATCACGCCACCGCACTCCAGCCTGAGTGACAGAGCAAAACCCTGTCTCAAAAAACAACAACAACAACAACAAGAAAACAAACCCAGCTCACTGGGAGGTAGCAAGTCAAGTGTTGGGGAGGACGTGGGGCAGGAGGACGTGGGGCAGGAGCACAGTGGGGTGCATGTGAGATTTGGGGTACATCCTCCGAAGGCTCAGAGAGTAAGGGGCAGTCTGAGGATCTCTGGAGATGGGATGGCAGGGAGGAGCTTTGTGGGACACTCTGGCCTGCTAGAGGCCTCCTGGATCCCCTCCCCTATCCCCAGGAGGTGAGGGACATTGGAGAGAGGCGGGAGCCGGACCGTGTGCAGCAGCAGCCTCAGAAGCCCGTGGTGGCTGCAGGGACACAGAACCTCAGGAAATTCCGTCAGGGCTTCATGAAGTGCTTGCTGGAGGTGGAGAAAGTGGAAGCCTCCCATCGGAGAGCCTTGAAGGCCCGGTCCCTGACAGCCCAGAAGTCCCCCAGGACCCTGACCCCAGTGCCCACCTCATCCCCAAGCCTGCCTCAGACCCCTGCCTCGGCCCCTGCCAGTGGCCCATCGTGGGCCAGGCTGTCAGCTCCTGGGCCAGAGCCTGCCCCTGTGGGAGCCCCGGTCCCCACCTCCACGCCTTGCCCTGTCCTGCTGTGCCCTGCCCTGGACCTGGGCTGGAGAAGGATGGAGCTCTCGCACCACAGCAGCGAGAGAACCCTGAGCTACGCCAAGGCACGGTAGGAGCCCCCGCTGCCCACCTGCCCGCTCCTGAAAGGCCCCAAAATCAGAGCCTTGTCCCAGATGCAGGTCCCTGTACCTGCCTGTTCCCTTGTGTGTCCCCCACTCTCCATTTCTCCTCACGTGTCTCCTCTCCGCATCTCCCATGTCTCTGCCTCCTCTCCCATTTCTGACCCCTTTTCTAACTCCCCCGAAGGGGTCTCCCTCTAGTCCCCCTCTCCTCTATCCCACTCCTCCTCTGGGTCTCCTTTTTCCTGCCATTCTTGAGCCCTCCTGGCTCCTCAAAGCCTCCCCAACGACCTCCTCCTGCAGGCTTCCCCAACCCCTCCCCTAGCTATCAGCAGGGTGGGCGGCCGGATGTTGCCCTGGGCCGGGGTTCTGTCCTCTGCAGGCAGGAGCCGGAAGAGCAGAGCCTCCAAAAGCTGTATCAAAACCGGGAAAAGTCCGAGGAGCAACTGACCCTGAAGCAAGAGGAAGGTGAGGGCAGGGAGGCCAGGGAGGTCCCAGTACAGGCAGGACCCTTGGTCCTTGGGGGTTTATAGGTGCAGGGCAGACTGGGGTGTTTTCCAGATCACACGGCTGCCGCCATGCCCACCACAGCCCCGTGTAGCAGATCCAGCAGCGGTTTTCTGCACTTGGCCTGTGGGGCAGGGCAGGGTAAGGGGGTGGCCCCAGCTCACAAAGCTGCTGGGTTGGCGGAGCCAGAACTCATGCTGGGTCAATTTTTTGTTTTTTTTTTTTTGAGAAAGAATCTCACTCTGTCGCTCAGGCTGGAGTGCAGTGGCACGATCTCAGCTCACTGCAACATCTGCCTCCAGGGTTCGAACGATTCTCCTACCTCAGCCTCCTGAATAGCTGGGATTACAGGTGTGTGACACCACGCCCGGCTAATTTTTGTATTTTTAGTAGAGACGAAGTTTCACCATATTGGCCAGGCTGGTCTCAAACTCCTGAACTCAACCGATCTACCCACCTCGGCCTCCCAAAATCTGGAATTACAGGCGTGAGCTACCGCGCCCGGCCTTGTGCTAGGTCTTCTGACTCGAAGTCCAGCGCTCTCCCTGTGCCAGAGCTGCCTCTCTGATAGAATGACAGAAGCGTTGCAGAGTGATTTAGGTTTTGGAATAGTTTCTGCTTCCCTTAACCCAAGCCTGCTCCATGGTCCTCTTCAGAGCACCCTGGATAGGAGACAGGGCTCCAGGAACCCTGCCCATCCTAGACAGTCCCTCATCATTAAACAAGGACACCAGCCTAAGCATCTCCCCCATTCCCACTGCATCTCACCTTCACCAAAAAGTTAAAAAGTTCTGAATGCCTACCCTGCTCTCTATTGTCCTCAGGACGGGGTCCTGTGACCCCACTCCCCCATCACCCTGGCCCTAGAAGAATGGATGTACATCCTCCTTCCATCCCCCACTCCTCCCCAAAGCCTGCAACCCTCTTGGCCAAAGTGGTCCCTTCCTCTGTCTTCCCTGGATGCTCTCACTGGCTCCCTGTGACCCCATCCTTTAAGTCCACCCCTTTTAGTATTAAAACCCTCTACCATGGCTGGGCACAGTGGCTCATGCCTATAATCCCAGCACTTTGGGAGCCTGAGGCAGGAGGATCGCTTGAGGCCAGGAGTTCAAGACTAGCCTAAGCAACATAGTAAGACCCCCATATCTACAAAAAATTTAAAAATTAGCCATACATAGTGGCATGAGCCTGTAGTCCCAGCTACCCAGGAGGCTGAGGTGGGAGGATCACTTGAGCTCAGGAGTTTGAGGTTATGGTGGGCTATGATTATGCTACTACACTCCAGCCTGGGGGACAGAGCAAGACCCTCTCTTAAAAATAAAATAATATACAACTCCAGCCGGGCGCGGTGGCTGATACCTGTAATCCCCACACTTTGGGAGGCTTAGGTGGGTGGATCACGAGGTCAAGAGTTCGAGACCAGCCTGACCAACATGGTGAAACCCCGTCTCTACTAAAAATACAAAAATTAGCCGGGTGTGGTGGTGCGTGCCTATAATCCCAGCTACTCAGGAGGCTGAGGCATGAGAATCGCTTGAACCCGGGAAGCGGAGGTTGCAGTGAGCCGAGATCACGCCACTGCACTCCAACCTGGGCGACAGAGCGAGACTCTGTCTTAAAAATAGTAATAATAATAATAATAATAATATACAACTCCCTAGCCACCTTCCTAAGTGCAGCTCTCCCTGCCCACCTCCTTGAGCAGTTCATGAACAATGTGCCACTTTGACTTAGAGACTCAGGGTCCCACAACTCCCAATCCCTGTCTGGTAATAAAGGGCCGACTGCCCTGCTCCGATGGCTCAAACCACAAGGCATTCTGAGTGATCACACTTGCTTCTGAGAGTTGCTCTGGTTTTTCCTTCTGTGATGTGCCTGCCCACGACAGGTCACCACATGCCCCAACACCAGTCCTAGCCCCACCTCTTCCCCACCATTCAGCGCTGTTTGTCAGAGACTTCCAGGCTAACAGAGGCTATTGTGTGCCAGGCACTGAGTTCATACAATACCTCCAAGAGGGTGCGCTGTTGTTACGGCCATCGTACAGATACGGAAATAGAGGCTGATGGAAGTGCAGCAACTTGCCCATGCCCAGCGTCCTAGTCAGAGCGGGCTGCCATAACAGAGGACCACAGACTGGATGGCTGAAACAGCAGACATTTCTTTTGTCACAGTTCTGGAGGCTGGAAGTCCAAGATCAGGGTGTCGGCAGGTTGCTTTCTTCTGTGGCCTCCCTGCTTGGCTTGCAGACAGCTGTCTTCTCATTGTCCTCACATGGTCTTTCCTCTGTGAATGGGCAACCCTGGTATCTCTGTGTGTGTCCAAATTTGCATTATTTATTTATTTATTTATTTACTTATTTGAGGCAGGGCCTTGCTCTGTCACCCAGGCTGGAGTGCAGTGGTGTGATCCTACCTCACTGCAGCCTCTACCTCTGGGGCTCAAGTAATCCTTCCACCTCAGCCTCCTGAGTAGCTGGGACTACAAGCATGTGCCACTGTGCCTGGCTAATTTCTAAAATTTTCTATAGAGACAGAGTTTCTTTTTCTTTTTTTTTTTTTTTTGTTTGAGACGGAGTCTCGCTCTGTCGCCCAGGCTGGAGTGCAGTGGCTGGATCTCAGCTCACTGCAAGCTCCGCCTCCCGGGTTCACGCCATTCTCCTGCCTCAGCCTCCCAAGTAGCTGGGACTACAGGCGCCCGCCACCTCTCCTGGCTAGTTTTTTGTATTTTTTAGTAGAGACGGGGTTTCCCCGTGTTAGCCAGGATGGTCTCGATTTCCTGACCTCGTGATCCGCCCGTCTCGGCCTCCCAAAGTGCTGGGATTACAGGCTTGAGCCACCGCGCCCGGCCTAGAGACGAAGTTTCTTATGTTGCTCAGGCTGGTCTCAGACTCCTGGGCTCAAGTGATTCTACTGCCTCAGCTTCCCGAAGTGCTGGGTGGATGGTGTTAGCCATCACACTTAGCCCAAATTTCCTTTTTGCATGAGGACTCCAGTTGGATTGGATTAGGACACACACTAAAGGCCTCTTTTTAACTTAATCACCTCTTTGAAGGCCCTATCTTCAAACACAGGCAGGTTCAGAAGTACTGGGGGTTAGGGCTTCAACATAAGAGCAATCCAGCTTATTAAATGGCAGAGCCAGGCCGGGCACGGTGGCTCATGCGTGTAACTCCAGCACTTTGGGGGACTGAGGCAGGAGGATTGCTTGAGCCTAGGATTTCAAGACCAGCCTGGGCAACATAGGGAGACCCCATCTCTACTAAAAATAAAAATTAAAAAAAAAAAAGCTGGGCATGGTGGTGTGCACCTGTCATCCGAGCTACTGGGGAGGCGCAGATAGTAGGATCCCCTCGAGCCCAGGAGATCCAGGAAGCAGTGAGCCATGATCACACCACTGCACTCCAGCTGGATCAACAGAGTAAGACCCTCTATTGACTCCAACCCAGATTTTGCCATGGGGCTGAGAAACCTGACACACAATCTGACTAGTACACAGCCTTTGTATCACTTGGTGCTGCTCTGCGGTGTTCTCAGACCCTTCCCATCCTCTGGTCTGGTCCACACAAGGCAGCAATCCTTTCGACGGCGTTCATCCAGATCAACCAAGGACCAGATCGACCAAGGACCAGGGCACAGACTTAGTCAGAAAAACTGTCCAGTCATCTAACCTCTGAGCCTCAGTTACATCGTTCTGATGCTCCCCATCGTTACAATGGGAATAAGCACTCTACTCTTGAGAACATGGCTATAAAGAGTCTAGTCCAGTGTCTGGCACACAGTAGGGTGCCCTAAAGTGGGTGGGCCACTGGCGCTGAGTGAAGGCCACTAATTAGCTGAGCTGTTGGCACCCAAACTAAACCCTTGGCCTGGATTTGGAATAGACAGCAGAGTGAGTCAACGGGATCACAGCCCTTTCTTTTCTTTTTTTCTTTTTCTTTCTCTTTCCTCCCTCTCTCCTTCCCTCCCTCTCTCTCTTTTTTTTTTTTTTTTTTGGAGTCTCGCTCTGTCACCCAGGCTGGAGTATAGTGGCACAATCTCAGCACACTGCAACCTCCGCCTCCCGGGTTCATGCGATTCTCCTGCCTCAGCCTCCCAAGTAGCTGGGACAACAGGCATGCACCACCATGCCCAGCTAAGTTTTGTATTTTTAGTAGAGACAGGGTTTCACCATGTTGGCCAGGCTGGTGATCTGCCTGCCTCAGCCTCCCAAAATGTTGGGATTACAGGCATGAGCCAACGCATCCGGCTCTTTTATTTTCACTTTTGATGGTGGAGGCAGCTGGCAGGAGGGCGGTTGGGGTGATGGGATGAACGAGAGAAACAAGAAACGCCCCCACCCCACATAACCCTGCCCTCCCCACAGCCTTCCGCAGCTACTTTGAGATCTTCAATGGCCCTGGTGAGGTGGATGCACAGAGCCTGAAGAACATCCTGCTCCTAATGGGCTTCTCTGTGACGCCAGCCCAGGTGGAGGACGCCCTGATGAGTGCTGATGTCAATGGTGAGTAGCAGAGGGCTCCACTCTGCGTCCCAAGCAGGGCCTGCTTCACTGGCTTGAAGCCTGTGCAGTTGCATGAGGCTCTGCACCTAAAGGATTCCATGCTTGGTTTAATGCTCTGCTGTCACAGTCTAGAAATGCCTTTGTTGTTCTTGTTGTTTGAGACGACGTCTGGCTCTGTTGCTCAGGCTGAGTGTAATGCTGTGATCCCTGCTCACCACAGCCTCGACCTCCTAGGCTCAAGCAATCCTGCCACCTCAGACTCCTAACTGGGACTATAGGCGCACTACCACGCCTGGCTAATTTTTTATTTTTTGTAGAGGTAGGGTCTTTGTTGCCCAGGCTGGTCTCAAACTCCTGGACTCCAGGAATCTGCCTGCCTCAGCCTCTCAAAGTGCTGGGATTACAGGTGTGAGCCACTGCGCCCAACATCATATAAATTCTTAACAATTTTTTTTTTTTTTTTTTGCTTTTTTGTTTGTTTTTGCGACAGAGTCTTGCTTTGTCGCCCAGGCTGGAGTGCAGTGGCACCATCTTGGCTCACTGCAACCTCTGCTTCTCAGATTCAAGCGATTCTCCTGCCTCAGCCTCCCAAGTATCTGGGATTACAGGTGTGCGCCAACACTCCTAGCTAATTTTTGTATTTTTAGTACAGATGGGGTTTTACCATGTTGGCCAGGTAGGTCTCAAACTCCTGACCTCAGGTGATCCACGCACCTCGCCTCCCAAAGTGCTAGGATTACAGGTGTGAGCACTTTCAGCTTCTACTTTCCTGTGTGCCCCATGTTGTCTGCATTGAGTATGCACTGCTTGATCATCAGACCCAGAGAGTAACTTCTAATAACCATGCCTGGGCTGCAAGGCACGGACCTGTTCCGAAGGTCCCTGCCCACCCAGTTACTCCTCTGGCCTCCACAGGAGACGGTCATGTGGATTTCAAAGACTTCTTGGCTGTGATGACAGACACCAGGCGCTTCTTCTGCTCTGTGGGTGAGCAGGGATGAGCCCAGGGTAGTCAGAACTGGAGGAGGAGCTGCTGGGAGGTTGCTTGCGGGGAAAGGAGAGGGCATTCAGGACTGCCCTGTGGTAACGGCAGCCACTATCCCTTGTCTCCAGAACAGAATGCCCTGACGGACATGGCTCCCCACAACCCCCACACTCTACTCTTTGAGATCCTGTCCCTGCTGGTAGAGATGCTGGCCTTACCAGAGGCAGTCTTAGAGGAAATCACAAAGTGAGTGGGGCTGGTTGTTGGGGATGAAGGGTTGTGGACACAGAGGTGGCATCTAGCATTTTGGCACTGAGAACTTTTGGTAGTTATGACTTTTAGTCACAAGTGAAAGAAACTGGAGGCTGAAGCAGGAGAATCGCTTGAACCCAGGAGGTGGAGGTTGCAGTGAGCTGAGATTGCACCACTGCACTTCAGCATGAGCGACAGAATGAGACTCTGTCTCAAAAAAAAAAAAAAAAGTGAAAGAAACTAGACTAAAACTGGCTGAAGCAAAAGGGGAATGTATGGCTCAAATCACTGGTTGGGGCCTCAGGACTGGCGGGATCCCAGAGACCAAATGATACCAGTAAGGCTTTCTCTCTCCACCTATCCATGTCTATGCATTGGCTTTGAGCTCAGCTAGGCTCTCCCTACAGAGGGAGGGATTCCCATGGAGCTGGCGGCCCCATGCTCACACCCTCCTAGTGCAGCAAGAGGGATTCTTCCCTGCAGCACCCATCAAGCAGTCCCAGGAAAGGAATTTGATGGACCCTACCTGGGCCAGAAGACACAAAAGCCTCCACGTGTCTCCAGGGCAGGTGGGTGGGTAGGTAGTGGTTCATCTAAGAAAGAGACAGCCAGGGTTAGAAGCAAAGGGTGAAGGCAGAACAGTCCAGTTGATCTTCAAATAGCAGTTTCAGGCCCTCACGCTTCAGAGGAGCCTGAGCCTTCATTTCCTGTCTTTGTTTTTTTTTTTTTTTTTTGAGACGGAGTCTCGCTCTGTCGCCCAGGCTGGAGTGCAGTGGCGCGATCTCGGCTCACTGCAAGCTCCGCCTCCCGGGTTCACGCCATTCTCCTGCCTCAGCCTCCCGAGTAGTTGGGACTACAGGCGCCCACAACCGCGCCCGGCTAATTTTTTGTATTTTTAGTAGAGACGGGGTTTCACCGTGGTCTCGATCTCCTGGCCTTGTGATCCGCCCGCCTCGGCCTCCCAAAGTGCTGGGATTACAGGCGTGAGCCACCGCGCCCGGCCCATTTCCTGTCTTTGAAATGAACATATTTTAATGCTTGTTGCTCAATAAATGCTAGCTTTCAACAGAGGTGAAAGCCTGTTGCCCAGGCTGGAGTGTTAGTGATACAATCACGACTCACTACAGCCTCGACCCCCTGGGCTCAATCGATCCTCCCACCTCGGTTTCCCTAGTAGCTGGGATTACAGGCGCGTGCCACCATGCGTGGCTTCCCAAAGTGCTGGGATTACAGGCATGAGCCACCATGTCCAGCCAAAAGGCACTTTGTTGCTGGGCAAGGTGGTGTGTGCCTGTAGTCTAGCTACTCAGGAGGCTAAAGGGGAAGGACTGCTTGAGCCCGGGAGTTCGAGACTGCAGTCAGCTATGATGGCACCACTGCACTCCAGCCTCGGTGACAAAGTCCATCTCTTAAAAAAAAGAAAAGCAAAGCCAGGCGTGGTGGCTCACACCTGTAATCCCAGCACTTTGGGGGGCCGCAGCGGGCGAATCACAAGGTCAGGAGACCAAGACCATCCTGGCTAACACAGTGAAACCTCATCTCTACTAAAAATACAAAAAGTTAGCTGGGCGTGGTGGCGGGCGCTTGTAATCCCAGCTACTCAGGAGGCTGAGGCAGAAGAATCACTTGAACCCGGGAGGCGGAGGTTGCAGTGAGCCGAGATTGCACCACTGCACTCCAGCCTGGGGGACAGAATGAGATTCCGTCTCAAAAAAAAAAAAAAAAAAAAAAAAGGAAGAAAGGAGGGAAGGAGGGAGGGAAGGAAGGAAGGAAGGAAGGAAGGAAGGAAGGAAAGAAAGAGGAATTTGGAGTTTTGTCTGTGCCTCTTACTAGTTCAGTAGCCTTGGGCAAATTGCTTTCTCTCGATTCAGTTTCTTCATCTGTAAAATAAGGGCATGTTTCCTCAACTCTTCAATGCAAGTGATGGAAGGATATGAGGACAGGAGCGTATCTCACAGAATTGAGCCTGTAGGAACCAGGCTTTCAGCCTGCTGGGGTCTCCTCTCAGTGCATCACACAAAGGCTTGTCCTTGCCAATCAGTAAGTTGGACTAATTTTTTTCCTACCACAGACTAGGCCTTTTCCACATGGGCCAGAGAAAGGGGAATGAGTGCAGCCTGTTCCAGCAAGAACAATTTAGCAACTCCAAAGACAAGAGATTTTTTCCAGCCAGGCACAGTGGCTCATGCCTGTGATTTCAGCACTCTGAGAGGCTGAGGCGGGTGGATCACCTGAGGTCAGGAGTTCGAAACCAGCCTAGCCAACATGGTGATACCCCGTCTCTACTACTAATACAAAAATTAGCCGGGCATGGCGGTGGGTGCCTGTAATCCCAGCTACTCAGGAGGCTAAGGCAGGAGAGAATCATTTGAACTCAGGAGGCGGAGGTTACAGTCAGCTGAGATCACGCCAGTGCACTCCAGCCTGGGCAACGAGAGCGAAACTCTGCATACAATACAATACAATACAATTGGATTGTTTGTAACATAAAGGATAAATGCTTCAGAGGATGGTTACCCTTGAAGTCTCACTCACTCTATTGCCTAAGCTGGAGCATCCATTGTGAATATATATATATATATGTGGTTTTTTTTTTTTGTTTTTTTTTTTTGAGACGGTCTCACTCTGTCGCCCAGGCTGGAGTGTAATGGCACGATCTCAGCTCATCACAAGCTCTGCCTCCCAGGTTCAAGCAATTCTCCTGCTTCAGCCTCCCAAGTAGCTGGGATTACAGGCACCTGCCACCATGCCTGGCTAATTTTTGTATTTTTAATAGAGACAGTGTTTCTCCATGTTGACCAGGCTGGTCTTGAACTCCTGACCTCAGGTGATCCACCTGCCTCGGCCTCCCATAGTGCTGGGATTACAGGTGTGAGTCACCATGCTCGGCCTCTTTTACTTTTAGATATACAATTAAATTATTATTGACTATAGTCACCCTGTTGTGCTAATAGTTGATCTTATTCATTCTTTCTATTTCTTTGGTACCCACTCAGCATATTTTTATTATTTTACTTTATTTTAATTTTTGAGATGGAGTTTTGCTCTTGTTGCCCAGGCTGGAGTGCAATGCCGCAATCTCGGCTCACCACAACCTCTGCCTCCTGGGTTCAAGCAATTGTCCTGCCTCAGCCTCCCAAGTAGCTGGGATTACAGGCATGTGCCACCATGCCTGGCTAATTTTGTATTTTTAGTAGAGATGGGGTTTCACCATGTTGGTCAGGCTGGTCTCAAACTCCTGACCTCAGGTGATCCGCCCACCTTGGCCTCCCAAAGTGCTGGGATTACAGGTATGAGCCAATGTGCCTGGTTTTTTTTTTTTTTTGAGACAGAGTCTTGCTCCATTGCCCAGGCTGGAGTGCAGTGGCACAATCTTGACTCACTGCAACCTCTGCCTCCTGGGTTCAAGCAATTCTTCTGCCTCAGCCTCTGGAGTAGCTGGGACTACATGGGCACACCACCATGCCAGGCTAATTTTTGTATTTTTAGTAGAGATGGGGTTTTACAGGCTGGTCTCAGATTCCTGACATCAACCTATCTGCCCACCTCAGCCTCCCAAAGTTTTGGGGTTCACTTTTCTTCGATTATTTATTATTATTTTTTCAGACGGAGTCTCGCTATGTCACTCAGGTTGGAGTGCAATGGCGCGATCTCGGCACACTGCAACCTCCGCCTCTGGGTTCAAGAGATTCTCCTGCCTCAGCCTCCCGAGTAGCTGGGATTACAGGCACCCATCCACCACCATGCCCGGCTAATTTTTCTATTTTTAGTAGAGACAGGGTTTCACCATGTTGGCCAGGCTGGTCTTGATTTCCTGTCCTCAGGTGATCCACCCACCTCAACTTCCCGAAGTGCTGGAATTACAGGCGTGAGTCACTGCGCCCGGCCTCTTCAATTATTTTTTCATTCTGTTCCTCAGACTTGATTATTCCATTGTCCTATCTTCAAGTTCACAGATTCTTCTGCCTGCTCAAATGTACCTTGAATCCCTCTAGTAAAATTTTCATTTCAATTATTATACTTTCCAACTCCAGACTGAAAAGTAATTACTCCACTGTCCTGTCTTCAAGTTCACTGATTCTTCTGCCTGCTCAAATCTGCCTTGAATCCCTCTAATGAAACTTTCATTTGAGTTACTGTACTTTCCAACTCCACAATCTTTTTGGTTTCTTGTTTGGATTTTTTTTTAATCTCTTTTGTACTTCCATCTTGATCATATATTGTTCTCTTGACTTTCTCCAAGTCTTCCTTTAGTTCTCTGAGCATCTTTTAAGAGAGCTGTTTTGGCCAGGCGCGGTGGCTCAAGCCTGTAATCCCAGCACTTTGGGAGGCCGAGATGGGCGGATCACGAGGTCAGGAGATCGAGACCATCCTGGCTAACACAGTGAAACCCCATCTCTACTAAGAAATACAAAAAATAGCCGGGCGAGGTGGCAGCGCCTCTAGTCCCAGCTACTCGGGAGGGGGAGGCCGGAGAATGGCGTGAACCCGGGAGGCGGAGCTTGCAGTGAGCTGAGATCCGGCCACTGCACTCCAGCCTGGGCTACAGAGCGAGACTCCGTCTCAAAAAAAAAAAAAAAGAGAGAGCTGTTTTTTTGTTTTTGTTTTTTTTTTTTTTTTGAGACAGAGTCTTGCTCTGTCGCCCAGGCTGGGGTGCAGTGGCCGGATCTCAGCTCACTGCAAGCTCCGCCTCCCGGGTTTAGACCATTCTCCTGCCTCAGCCTCCCGAGTAGCTGGGACTACAGGCGCCTGCCACCTCGCCCGGCTAGTTTTTTGTATTTTTTAGTAGAGACGGGGTTTCACCGTGTTCGCCAGGATGGTCTCAATCTCCTGACCTCGTGATCCGCCCGTCTCGGCCTCCCAAAGTGCTGGGATTACAGGCTTGAGCCACCACGCCCGGCCGAGAGCTGTTTTATAAAGATTTTGTCTAGAAGATCTGCTGTCAGGTACTTTTCAGGGACTGTTTCTGTTTTTTTCCTTTAAACGGCCATGCT